AGCGTTTTCGCGCGCTCCCCTTGCTTACCAAGGGCGCGAAAACGCTGCGCCCCGGCCCCTTTCGGCTGTTCCGGTGGCCTTTTTTTACCCGCCAAACAGCTGATGGCAGCCATTTCGGCGCCCTCGTTCTGCGAGGGGAGGGCGCGAAAATGGCTGCCGCCTATGGAGGAGCTTCGCTGAACGGTGAGTTTGAAAGCCATAGAAACACATTGAACTTTTTCCCTCCCGCACAGCGATGTTTCCCACAGCGAAGGTTAATCCGGAACGGATTAACCTCGCTGTGCGGGGCACCACTGTGTATATAAAATCAGTACATTGAATTGGCTATACGGCACTTTTTTGAATACAGTGGTGTCTCGCAAGACGATTTTAATTTGTTCCGTGAAAATCGTCCTGTGAAAAAGTCGTCTTGCGAGGTTCCCTATGCATCGTCTTAAAAAAAAAGTCTTGCGAAAAAGTCTTGCGAAGCATCGGTCAAAAAAAAGTCTTGTGAAACAAGGTCATAGAAAAAAATTCTTTCGAGGCACCATAGTGATCGCAAAAAACAATCATCTTGCTGGGTTTTTGTCCCGCGAGACAATCGTCTAGCAAGGCACCACTGTATAGCAGAAAATGTGGTGATAATTTTGAAGTGAAGTGTTGTGACGGCTATTGAGGTTTGGATAGCTGTCCAGTGTTGGATATTTCTCTATTGTGCTTTTGAAACTTGAAGAATGTGACAGTGTGACTGAAAGCACTTATGTTTGACTGAAAGCACTTTTACTTATATGTAGACCACAAATGTAAAAATGTAAATACTATTTAAAGCATATAACAGAATTTAAACAATATAATACCATTAAAACCACAGGAATTACAAGGAAATCAATAGTCATTGGTACCACTATCCTTAAAGCCCCCCTTTTCGTTCTACTGCTCCCCTGAAAAATGAAATCGCCCCCTGGGGGGCATTATTGCCCACGTTAAGAACCACTGATGTAGACCACAAATGTAAAAATGTAAATACTATTTAAAGCATATAACAGAATTTAAACAATATAATACCATTAAAACCACAGGAATTACAAGGAAATCAATAGTCATTGGTACCACTATCCTTAAAGCCCCAGCAATCTGGTGACAACCAAGCTTTAACTTGGCATTGAAATGGAATCAGTGACACTAGTGGAACCTCTAGACACAACAGTTCCACAATTTGGACGGTATAGCCAAGAAGGCCCTTTCCTGTGTCCCCATACAGTGTACTGTTCTGAATGGTGAGACAAGGAGGGCTCCCCCTGCAGATCTAATAGATGGGCAAATATGTATAAAGAGGAGAGACACCGTTAAGTAACCAGGTCCCAAACCAGGACTTTATAAGTCAGCAGAACCCTGAATTCAGATTGTGGAAGTGTATTGGCAACCAGTGCACTTTCAGAATTGGTTTTTCATGAGTTCTGAATGGTATTTCTTAAGCATATGGCATATATTGCACATTCCAAAGTACCTGTATTGTCTTCTGCCTTATATAGAGCTTGTTGAAGTAGGAGGTTACTTCTGCATGAACAGTTGTGGCCTGGCTGTCTCTGTCTAGGAATGGTTGTAGCTGGCAGAACAGGTGAAACTGCCCCTAGAAACTCTGATCCACTGAGTTCACCAAGGCTCCAGTGATATAGATCCAGGAGTATCCCTAAACTACACACATTTTTTTTGAGAGATGCAAGTCCTTTTTGTTGTTTTTGTTTTTTGGATGGGAATCACCAAAATACAGAACCTTCTGTACAGATACAGAATTCTGCTTCTGCTCCTGGCATGGGTGGAAATTATAAATACGAGTGATTTATGTGATTGGTGCTTGTTTATATTACTGCTTTGGTATGGAATTCTAACCATGTGGAAACAGTTTCCCAGTAGCTGATATCACAGAGGGAAAATAGAAACAAGTAGTGTATTAGCTGTCAGCAGAGGAATGATCAAGGTCATTTGTGTACAAGTCTTTACCTCATTCTGTGGAAGTATTTGGAAATAGGCATTTTGGAAACAAGTTAAAAACTACATTGTTTATCCCTAAAATCTAAAATAAAGCGCTGTGGGCTAAACCGCAGAAGCCTGTGCTGCAGGGTCAGAAGACCAGCAGTTGTAAGTTCGAATCCACGCGACGGAATGAGCACCTGTCCCAGCTCCCGCCAACCTAGCGGTTCGAAAGCATGCAAAGTACAGTGTTTATCCCTAAAATCTAAAATAAGAAATGTAATTAAACTAGCATGCTTTAAATAGTTTTAGACTGTGTGTATTAACATCAGCGCTGTTTATATACTAGTTTGTTGTGAAATCCACTGCATTGCATTGTTGACAAGTTTAGGAGCAGTTTCACTTCAATTGAAGTTCTCCTATTCCGAAAAAGCAGGCAAATCTGTAGATACAGCGATGCTTACTTTTAAAAACATTATTCTCACAAACGCTGGCTCTATGGCTTGAAGAGCGGGATGAGCGCCGCCCCCTAAAGTCGGACACGACTGGACAAAAATTGTCAAGGGGAACCTTTACCTTTACCTAATTAAACTAGCATGCTTTAAATACTTTAAACTGTGTGTATTAACATCAGCGCTGTTTATATACTAGTTTGTTGTGAAATCCACTGCATTGCATTGTTGACAAGTTTAGGAGCAGTTTCACTTCAATTGAAGTTCTCCTATTCCGAAAAAGCAGGCAAATCTGTAGATACAGCGATGCTTACTTTTAAAAACATTATTCTCTCTTTTCATTCTCCATATTGGAAATATGGTTTGGATTCCCCAGGAGCAGTTGATGTTTCACCAACATATATGCAGTCCCATTTAGATTATATAGCTGTTGTGTGGACCTATAAATGAGGTTGCTTAATTGCACTTGCCATATCTGTCTCTGAGTTCTGCATCAAAAAAAGTGAAAGGCATACAACTAGAAGACTAGAGTGGGACAGAATTGAGAAAGCATTGACCTTAAATCCAGCTGGAAGACTTAGCTGGTTCCTGGACATCTTTTAAGCTCATTTTGTCAATCAAACGAGTGTTTTGATTCACAGGGATACAAATGCTAAGTAACTTGTCCAAAGTTTATTTTTAGTCAGTGGCAGATGGTTTCAGATAAATCCCTAGTGACTTGGTTACAGTATGAACTAGTGATTGGTTGCTGAAATAGATCTGCAAGTCTACAGAGTTCATCTCTCTTTATCATCTTGGTTTTTTTCAGCTTATGCAAAGAAACTACTTTTAGATCTGTCAAAATAATGGGTTGGATCCAGATTTAGATGCATGCCACAGGGATGGCAGAATTAGATTTTCCTACTGTACTATATCTCCCCACAGCAGTACTCCACCTCCCTAAAAATATTACCTGGAAAATCAATGGATCCTGCTAAATGAAATGAACTGTGTGTATGTGTGTGGGGTGTTTATGAAAATTGGCAGAGACATTTTCTGTAAGCAACACTGTTCTGTCTACGGAATGAAGATCCTGGGTCCAATCCAAGATAAATAAAAACATGTGCTGCCACAGAACCATGTTTGCCTACAAGAAATGAACACACAGATTTAATAAATATTATTTTCAATAATACAGCAGACAAGTGAAATAAATTTGTGGATCTCTGGCTTCAAATTGTATAATACGATATTTATACAGTTCTTCTAATTTTATCCTGGAAAAATGCCATACTTTCTTCAATGTGTAGCACAGGACAAGAAAAGACTTTTGTGTTTGCTTATGTAGCAGATTTAGTTGATTATTTTCATTAGTGGCTACACTCACTTCTAGAAGACTGAACTATTATTAAAGAGTTTGGCAAACCAAGCTAAAGACCTGAAGTATAGGCATATTTCAGTTAGATACACTTAGAAGCTTCTTGTCTGCCTTGATTAAATAAAACAACACATGGAAAACGTAGATATGTGACCTTAAAACCTTCCTCCTTTTCTTATTTCGCTTAATTGGAGCTTGTCTGACTGAAAGATAATTGACTGAAAGGTAATGTAATTTATTATTCAGTATTTTTTTCTATGTGATGTATATTTTCAGTCAGAATCCAAGCTTTATAATGGATCAGAGAAGGACATTACTGCCTCTTCCACCACCACCTCCTCTACTACCAAGCTTACAAAAAAGGAATCTCTTAAGGTGAGTTAGTTTCTGAAACTGTACACCTATATCTGCATCCTTCTGACTAGGCAGTGTCACACTTTCCACTTGATAGCAATTAAATATGAAGTACATAAGAGCATTCAGGGAAATCTAGGCTGTCTAGCCACTATCACTATTTCCTACAAAAACATTTACCATATTCCTTTCATCTCCAAAATTTAGCATGTTTCTGGAGTACAGGACTCAGTTAACTATGACCTTTCTAGATGATGTTGGACTCCCAGCCAACAGAACCAGTGGTTGAAAACGGTGGAAGTTGCTGCCCAATTTGGAGGTTCCCCACTTCTGCTCTAAAATAAACATAGTCCTCCATTTCAGCTGTATGAAAGATATGTGAAATTGGCTGAACCACAGGCAGGTAATTTAGTGCCCTCTTGATGGTTAGTCTAAGTTCCAGAAAATAAGGATTATGAGAATTGATGTCCAAGACATTTAAGAGAATGCTGTTGCTTGGCTTACTCTTTGTTTTCATATTGGCTTTAGAAGCGTGTTCATGGCTATCCATTTTTTTATGCTGGTGCCTTCAGCCATATGAGCCTCAAAAGAAGTACATTCCAGAAATGGCTTTACCATATCTATAGACCAATTTTTCCTAAATTGCTATTTGCTTTGTGTTTTGAATGATACCTCCCACAATCCATGACCATTGGTAATGTGGTTGGGCCTGGTGGGAGCTGTAGACAAAAGCATTTGGAAAGCCATCAAGATGAGCAGGGGTAAAGTAGACTTTAGTGTTTTTGAACTCTACAGTCACTTGCATTGTCCACCACCATGAAAGTTGTACAATCACTTTTCTGCTGCAAATAATGAGATTTTAGGTGACTACAAACTACTAATGCTAAATTTATTTATTTGTTTATTTGAAATATTTTTATCCCACATTTCTCCTTGGAAAGGACCCAGGGCAGCTGGATCAAACAAATGCCATACTAAAAAACAAGCAACATCAAAACACATTTAAAGCAGTAAGGTACAATAATCCATTTAAAAGCCCTACTAAGGCAGCCAGTCACTAAGGGAAAGCTTGCCTGAAGAGAAAGGTCTTTGCCTGCTTTCAGAAGGACAGGAAACATAAGGCCAGCCTGACCTCATGTGGGAGGAAATTCCAGACTCTGGGAGCAGCAATAGAGAAGGCCTTCTCCCATGTACCCACCGAATGCACATGTAAATTGAACATATATTTAATATATTACAGTACGAGTCTCAATTAAACATGCCAAGTAGATAGTTCTGTTTATAAACCAGTGAAAGCATGCATGTTTCCCAGTTTGGTGTAGTGCGCAAGCAGAGGAAGAGTTTTGTGCAAAAATTTGTTCATTTGTGTGTGTACACACATATTTCTGTGTCTGTATGAAACTTAGACATTCTGTTCCTAGATTAATCTAAGTGGCCAATAAAAGAATAATTCTGTTTATTCTTTGTTTCCTGTATGATCTCATGTGCTGTTTGGTGAGAGCCGAAAAAATATGTATCCCTATATGTGAAATTAGTTAGAAAAGATAATATATAATGCCAGTTCTTATATTAACTCACCAGCAACTCCAAAATTCCGTAGTGCTTTTATTGTCTGAATTAGGCATGTTGTAATTCATTTTGTATTTTGACCATTGCATTTTGCAGATCTGCAAAGTTCTTAACATTAATGTTGTTTATGCCCTTCATTATTTTTCTGTTTGTTAATTTATTCTTTACAGGTTCAAAAGAAAAATTACAGGGAGGAGAAAAAAAGAGCCACAAAAGAACTACTTAGTACTATCACAGATCCATCTGTCATTGTCATGGCTGACTGGCTAAAGGTCAGACAATATGTTTAATTTAAGAGAAAGTTGTAGTTGCTGCTATTTATCTATAGAAAAGAATTAAAATTGTGGTTAGTTCCTGATGTTTATCAGTAGCTAAGAATCTATTAATCAAATAGATTAATAGATTCTGTGCATCGAATGCAAACCCCCTGGGGGTCTGCATTCGATGCATAGAAAACCAAAGGGAATGCCTAGCTACTACTTTCTCGTAGTTGCCATGGCTACATCAGTGTGCAATGGCTCATTGGGTTGGTGATCCCTTTGTATGAGCAAATGATCTCATAACAAAGAACTGAAAGTTTTTAATATGAATATTAAAAATATTATTTCTTGCACATGCACACAATATACTCATTCACTTTCATTTCTTTTCATATATGATGCCAGAAAGTTCTGGAAACTTCATATATGTGAAATTCAATAGTAATATGAATAGCTCCAGGAAGAAGACACTGTAAAAGTATAATGCGTGTTAGATAATCTGAATGTGCTTAATGCCACAGTTTTTTTGTGGATTGCATGGGAATTAAATGGCTTATATTGACAAATATTAAGCTGCTTCAGCCTTGTTTTCCTCGTTAGGTTAATAGCTAAGGTTGGCTTAAGAAGTAAATACTAATTTTTAAACCAATTAATTATATTTTCATCCTCCAAGGCAGCATTTTGATTCTCAGAACAAACATGAGAATAAATTTAGACTGAGAAATGATTTACCTGAAGCCACCAGTGAGTTTTACTGCTGATTAAGGCTCCTCTGAACATGGGCTTATATTTCAGCCACAAATTCAAATCAATGGATAGTGCCAATGTCAGTTGAGACATCTTCTGCAAACTTATCGTATTTTTCGGTCTATAAGATGCTACTTTTTCCTAAAATCATTACCCTAAAAATTGAGGAACATCTTTTACACAGAAGTAAGGTGAGACAGCTGAAGAGAGAACAAAACAGCATGTACCTTGCCTCTCTAAACAGCCTTGCTTCAGCCAGGAGGCTTAGTTTCCTACAGTCAGAAGACTTAACTACAGTACCTCCAATCACGAACCTTATGGAACTGTGGAACTGATGTCAGCTGATCTTTAACAAACCAAATGGAATACACCTCCTTGGAGGTGGAGCCTCTAGGCTCAAGATTCAACAGAGACAAAATGTCTGACATTCTGAGCTTGGAGGTGGAATCCTCAAGCTAAGTTTTTTTTTTAATTTGGGGGGTTAGAAAATTTTGTGGGGGTGTTATAAACAGAAAAATATGGTAGTATTTGTGCATATAACAAGACATTGTACAGAGTACAGTTCTTCACTCATTTGGGAGTAAGCCCCTCTGAACTCAGCAAGGCTTACTTTTGGGGAGTTTAGTATGGGATCTACTACATTATTTCATTCCAGAGAAAAAAAACGAGTTGCATATTTGATATATGTTAGCAACTTGACATACTAGACTATCAAGTTAACTGTGTACAGAAAGTAAGATGCATGCTGACTAGATTATTGCACAAGACTTGGATACAACAGGTACCTAGAAATATCACTTCTTTGTTTTTCACTACTGAATGGGTTATGTGTCTTGTAAGAAGAATGCTGTCTGCCTAGAAAGAAAAGATTAGAATGTGCTTAGTTATACTCAACAGCGTTTCTCCTCTCTTTTTTGCTAAGATTCGTGGTACACTGAAAAGTTGGACCAAACTTTGGTGTGTGTTGAAACCAGGAGTACTGCTTATTTACAAAACTCCTAAAAATGGCCAGTGGGTGGGAACTGTACTTCTGAACGCTTGTGAACTCATTGAGCGGCCTTCAAAAAAGGATGGATTTTGTTTCAAACTTTTCCATCCTTTGGAGCAGTCTATCTGGGCTGTTAAGGTAAGTGAATATGTATTCTTAATGCTGAATGGAACATTACACCAATGACATGCTAAACCTTTCTGCTTGAATTATTAATGATCTTAAAGTGCTTTCAGTTGGCATGGATTGGTCCTACTCCTGCTGAACTCATGTGATTTTCTGACAGGCCTTGGACATTGAACTCAGAGATGCTGAAATGTGAAACCTGACCTTGTGTTGGGTTCCTTGTACTGTCCTGTTATCCATGAGACAACAGGGCCAGTTGCCACAAAGCTTGTAGGAGAATGAAGAGGCCTCTGCTTTTGTCAAGATACAGCTTTGGTCAGCTTAATCTCTCTGTTTACTACAAGTGTAGAAGTATTTCTGTTGTCAACATTTTGGTGTTATCTATTGAAAAATAGATATTTAGAATGCCTAGTTTTGTCCTCTTATGTTTGCAGTACCTGATTTGCCTGGAGCATTGGTAAAATATGTGGAATTATAATGTAAAGACCTTATTGGGATATGAATTCTGCTCACACACTCACTTTGTAAAATTTAAAGATTTCAGACATCTCTAGAAAAGAGTTCATTAATTTTAAAAGTATTTTCATAAAGGGGAGAAAAGTGGATATAATGCTCTACTCAAAAAAAGAAACCCAGCTCTTGTCATTTACACTGTTTTCTGCTTTTATTTTAACTTAAAATGGCTTTTTGAATGCAAATTTACTTAATTGTATGAAGACATTTTCAATCAGAATGTGCTTCCAGACTTATGTCTCTGTTAATGAATGATTGCTTTAATTTTCTATTGTACCTTTTGATGTTTAGGGACTGTTTAAGCACCAGAATATCACAGTCTATGTGATGCCTAAACATTCCTTAACTATTGGTTAAGGAAATAACAGTAACCAATTCACAATAAGTAGCTTCATTGAAGGTTTTGTCATGCTATTAGCCAAATTAAGGTGTTGTTATGCCATACATAACATGACCCTGTACAGCACTGACTCACTATAATGCTCATGCTTGGATAGCCTTTTTGTGGTGTTCAACGGGCCTGGTCTACCTAAAGGACATAGACTGGGCATCTGGAAGACCTGGGGTCTGGTCTATCCTTGTTGGGCTGGAGGTAGACCAGGCCTTGGATAAACCTGGCCCATTGCCAGATGTTTTAAGAGACAAGCTGGGTCTTCCTGATCCATACTAGAGATAGGCTAAGACTTCTACTGTACGGCACAATGTTAAACTACCCTGTTTAGTGCTATTTTGTTAGTTAGTGCTTCATTTTATTGGAACATATCCTGAACTTTAAGCAGCATTTGACTATATAGAAAAGCTGTTTAAAATCAAAACGTAGGAATAGCTAAGGAAAAAATTACTAAATAAGTTAATGTAGGTTGAAGGACACATTGAAAAGCAACTGGAAAAGTGGCTGAGAAATTGCATTTTAGCTTTTAAGAAAAAGATTACCACTTATTTTCCAAAGGCTGCACAACGCCCATCTTGCTCTATACCATTCAGAGTAACTTTATCGTTGTATTCTTTATTTTTGAAGTTAAGAACTTTTTGTTTCTACTTATTAAATCATTTATCATCATGCATGATTACTTCATATCCCTATGTTTCTATGAGAGGTAAACATGCAGGATCAAAAGAAGCAATTTTATATATATTGATACTGAGAGGATAGATGTTGGCTTCAGTGTTCCTTAAATTTCAATCCTATGAATATGCACTAGAAAATAAATCTATTGAACCCTATCAGTCTGTCTTTAAAATTATCAGCTTCCATCATCAAGGCTAGAGAATTGGCTGTTGCTAGTGGTGGATACAATCCAGCACATATGAAGTTTTTCTCCAAACCAAGGTCATTCCACATTCATTGGCAGAAACCTCTAGCTTAGCATAAGTCACATTAGAGCAGGCCCATTGAATCAATGAGGATTTGGTGAATCAACCCCTCTGTAAGTTCCACTGATTCAAAAGGTCCTACTCTTTAATGTGACTTACCTGAACATAGTAAGTTGTAGGTGACTTGCTGTGCTAGGTAACAAGAATTTTGAGAGCTTACCTGAACGTAGTAAGTTGCTGTGCTAGGTAACAAGAATTTTGAGAAGCTTCGAGCATATTGAAGAAATCAGGTCAGCCACTGAGGTTAAGACTAAGCAGATTCCAGTGAAAGATGAAAATAATTATTTGGCAGTTATCTGCATTTGGTAATTGCTAATTGACAGACAATCTATCTCCTTCTGCCTTCTTAGATGTTTTAAGAAAATGTTGTATTCAAGTTAATCTAGAACTTTATCATCTATTGTTTCTGTTTTAAGGGACCTAAAGGGGAAGCTGTTGGCTCTATAACACAGCCTTTACCAAGCAGTTACTTGATCATTCGAGCAGCTTCAGAATCAGATGGTAAGTAGCTTTGACTTTGTCATATGGCTTTACAGTTTCTGAAGCATATGCCACTAAGAAATGAGACGCAAGAGCTGAGTAATGTATACATAGCCAAGGCCCTATTGGGATTTTATGCGGGCACAAGCAAATGTTTGTGACTAATTGAAACAAATTAAAAAGGTGTGTGTGTGTTTGTTTGTTTATTTATTGGATTTGTACCCTCCACCATCTGGCAACCAGGCCACTCTGGGCGGCTAACAACAAAATGAACAGCACAATATCAAGACAACAATAAAAAATAATATTACATACATTCAAACGAATATAATAACCAGCAAGATAAATTAAAACAGATTGCAGTGAAGGTGGTAAAAAGGTGATGAAAAGGATGGCAAAAACGTTGGTAAAAGGGAGGCCGAGATCTTAGTAACCTAATTATCAGGGAGAGCCTGGCGGAAGAGCCGGAGTCTTCAGTGCTCATTTGAACTCATCCAGTGAGGGTGCCAAACAGATCTCAATAGGCAGGTTGTTCCACAGGTGTGGGGCATGCCTGGTTTCTTGTTCTTTCCCTCTTCTGGGTTAAGGCCCTCAACCGCCCTGCCTGTGAAGAACGTGTATTATGGACAGGTCTGGCTGGGAGCAGGCGTTCTGATAGATACTGAGGTCCTAATCCGTTGCGTGCCTGGTAATCTGCATGTTCTTAGAGTGGTCTCTGTGAATACACACAATTGGGTATTACTGCACCTGCGCAGGACCTTTTGGAAGTTTCTAGAGCTTAAAAACATGATTAGTAGGATGTTCCCCCATGGATCGCATGCTCCACTCATCAGAGATCTCCTCAGTTCCTTTTAGCCGCCACTCAGGACAAGCTAGAGCCACCACTTTCGCTGTTAAAAGCCTTATTCCTTCGTGCCTCATGGCTGTTTTTAATTTATTTGCTATTCTCTCATTAGTTCTTCCTCTTTTTCTTACTTCCCCCATTTTCTCCTTTCCTTCTCGACCTGTTTCCCCCTCTCTTCCCTTCCCGCTTCTTTTATGCCCCCCCCCAGCCTTTCAAGCAGTGTGTGCTCTGCACTAACAAAATCCCACTCTCCGACAGGCATGTTCATTGCCTTTTCTGCCTAGCAGAACATCAAACCCATAACTGTGCAGAGTGTAAAAAACTAACTAAACCGGCACTCAAGATTACAGTGTCTCAGATCTCACTTTTGGGAGACATCTCTTCATCTGTCTACTCTACAGATGGAATCGGGCTGTCCACTGGCTTCTTGGCAAGACCCACCTCACTCGATCTTGAGCCCAGCCACATCTTCTCCGAAGTTAAGACTGTTCTAAGTCTTTGAGACCAAAGCATTGAAAATCAAAGGATCCATCTAAATCGAAAAGAAATGAGACTAAGATAAAGAAACCAAGAAAATCTTCACAGCCTACTCACCCATATCCACCTCAGATGGCCATACCATCGCTGATCTTAGAAGAAACTTCATGAGAAGCTCCGGAAACTTTCTCGTATCTAGGTGATGTCTCATCTCCACCTCTAGGCCAGCCCATTGCTTTGGCTGTTAGCCTCTCTCTATTGGCTCCTCAATGGTGGATGTCCCATCCACCCCGGCCTGGACCCTAACCCTAACTCCTCTCTCTCAAAACAGTCTTTTTGGTTGCAATAACATCAACTCAGAGGGCTAGTGAACTTTCAGCCCTCCGATCCGACCCACCCTATATACAATTTCATCCAGACAAGGTCACCCTTTACCCTGATATTTCTTTTTTTTTCAATGATTGTATCAGACTTTCATTTAAACTAACTATTAATCTTACCTTCACTTTTTTCATCTCCTCAAACTAATGCTGAGCGCATTCTTCATATGCTCAACATCAGACACTCCTTTGCTGTTTACCTTGTCAGGACTCGGTCTCCATGACTTTTCATATGTTTTCATGGCACTCATAAGGGTTCAGCACCATCCTCACAAACACTATTTAGGTGGATTGTCCAGACACTCTGGCTTATGAGCTGTCAGGCAAATCAGCTCCAGATACTCTTCGCGCACACTCTACCAGAGCTCTTTCAATTTCAACTGCCTTTCAACGTGGCATTGACATTGCTCATGTCTGCCATGCTGCCACTTGGTCCACCCCATTGACCTTTGTCTGGCATTACTGGCTAGATGTTCGAACAAAGAGTGATGCAGCCTTCAGCCGAGCTGGCCTAACCTCCTTACTTCAGAGATGTCCCACCAGCCGGTAAGTGAGCTTGCTAGTCACCCAATTGTGTGCATTCACAGAGACCACTGAGAAGAAAAAGAGGTTATCTACCTGTAACCATAGTCCTTCTAGTGGTCCTCTTTGAATCCACACATCCTGCCCATCCTCCCCTGTCCGTCACTTGTCGTCTACACTTACGTCTGACAGCAGCAGACTTTCGGGAATTGAGGAGGTCTCTGGAAGGCAAAGCATGCGCTTCACGGGGGAATGTCCCACTAATCACATGTTTTTAAGCTCTAAAAACTTCCAAGAGTTCCTGCACAGGGGCAGTAATACCCAGTTGTGTGCATTCACAGAGGACCACTCAAAGAACTATGGTTACAGGTAGGTCACCTCTTTCTGTCAGGCACATAGTTGGCACCTCATTAATGAGCCTCAGTTAACTGTTGTGATTTATGTAATTATGTGCAGATGCCATATTTTCTGGTTTAAAGTTGAGATATATTTAGTCTTTTAAATTACTGCCATCTAATGCAGTAGTTCTGTCATTTATAGATGTGATAGTAATATGAGGTATGGTACTACTAAAACAATTTCACTTTTCTTTAGGTAGGTGTTGGATGGATGCATTGGAGCTGGCTCTGAAGTGCTCTAGTTTGCTCAAGCGTACAATGATCAGAGAAGGTAAAGAACATGAATTCACAGATGGTGCACATGTGTCTTTCTACGGCCTGCTGCGTGCAAACAACGTGCACAGTAGTGAAAACTTTCCGTAAGTCAGCTAAATAATTAATTTTTGTTTTTTAAAAAGTCAAACAAAAATCTTCACAGATAAACCTTAGTCCTGCAGTTCAGTTGTTTTCAAGGAAGGAAGCTTGTCTTCAGCTACTTTCCCTCTTTCCTCCGAAAAGGGATTCAGATCCTCATATTCCAGAGAATTGGCAAACAACCCTATTTCTTTTTCTCTTTTGTAAGGGGCAGTGCTCTCATGTGAGCCTATTTTTTGAAGAGGGTCTGGAGTTACAATTCTCTTCTGGATAGGTTGTCTGGAATGGCAACTGGAGGTTGTATACTGCAGAGATTTCTTAACTACTTGATTCAAAAAATTAGTTATGAAGAGATGTTGCTTCACTGTACTTAGCAGTTATGATATGAGATCACATAGGTTTCTAGTTTGTTCCCAATAGTATTTAGCGTCCATGTGTGCAGAGCTGAGATTAAGATGGGACTTTCATTAAAAGTGATGGGGGGAAACCTCACACACATGGCAAAAGGTTCTTACATTGCTTTCAGATTGTGTTGTAGATGCTTGAAAGAGAGCCTTTTAAACTCAAAGGGTTCATTTAAACAAAAGAAGGGTTTCCCCTCCTTCGTCAAACCTCTTTCGCCCAAATCAGCTGGGAATTTTTCTCATCTTAGCTCTATGCGCCTCCTTGTCCTGCTGGCAGCCCTGCTTTTCCCTCTCCCTCCTTTACTTTTTGTGTGCCTTGCCTGCTTCCATCTTTGCAAGTTTTGCTTTCCCTTATCCCTTCCCTCATCACCAAGTTGCTTGCCCTGCTGCCAGCCCTGTGATCATCTTTTTCTCTCCTCCTCTCACTGCCATAAACACTTCTGTGCTTCTTACTTTGCTCCTTACCACTTTCAGCGCTTTTTTCTTGTCACTGCTGCTGAAAACAACATGAAATGATCCAAAAGAGGTGTTCCCTTTTCATGGTAAATTAAAGGAATGGTACATGAAAAAACTGACAGCTAAAGAGGCACCTATCCTCCCAGAAGAAACTGAATTATAATGGAAAAGAATGTTTCTGCCATGCACATCCTTAGTTGAAATTTTCTGAAAGTTGGAATGAGGTGTCATCAATGTGTAGATGTCTCTGTTTCACATTTTATCCAAGTAGTCTTTTCCCATGACAGTGCACAAGATGAGAGCAAAATGAAGCTCTGCCTAACCAAGACAGCAATATTGTGGGTAGATGGTTTTCTGCCCAAAGGAGTGATGTTCCTTTGCTGGGAAATATCTTTACTTAATCAATTAATTTTACTATATTTTGGCTTTCTCTCAATTAAAGGAGCCCAGGCAGCTTGCAAAATATTTGAAAGACAAATACTACTTTTAAAAATACAGTGAATTATACTTCTAAAAAACCAATTGAACTTATTTTCATGGGTTTATACGATACTCTGAAGAAAACTCTGAATAAAGCTTCTAGTTTGGGACATGTAAATTGGTTCTTTCATCAGATTAGGTTGGCATATTGATTGCAACTTTACCTGAATAGAGAGAGCCTAGCCTTAGTTGTCTATGCTACGATAACTCCTAAATAAACTATTATAATTTATAATGTTATCATAATATACTGTACATAAGAAGAGCCATACTGGATCAGACCAAAGGTCCATCTGCTTCAGCATACTACTCTCCAAAGTGGCCAACTAGATCCTGTTAGGGAATTCACATGTAGGACATGAGAGCTGTAAATTTTCCCCAGCAGATACTGTTGTGTTTCAGGCAATAGAACTGTAGTAGCAACAATCCCAGAGCATGTTGATTGGTTGAGTTAACTCTGAGTCACAATGCTGGTGCTTACCAATGACTTAGAACTATTAAAAGGGTCATGCTATGATTACAGTACTCAATTCAAAGATAAATTAATAGTAGTGATTTTTTAAAAATGCTCTGTTGTGGCTATGTGAACGCTTCCTTATTAAATTATATTGATGAAGGAATACCAATTTTTGTACTAAAATTATATCTTCAGTTTTAACTGACACATTAATTGCACTCTTAGGTTGCAGTTAAGTTACATTCTGTGTATGTCCAGATACTTGTGATTGTGTATAAAATAAATATACTTTAAACATCTTAAATTGGAAGCATGAACTCTTTCTCTGAGTCCGTAGGAGAAGAGATGCTTGATAAGATATGGTATGGTATATGCAAAATAGATTTCTCAAGTAACAGTGTAGAAAAAAGACTTATAAATATATGGTAAAGCTGAAAAATTAAATTGCATAAATTAAATACAAGAAATGATCTGTTAAATTTAAGCACTTCTGTAAGCCATGGCATTCAATATGCTTAAATTTTTCCATTTTTAAAAAATGACCAAAATTGTGAAAACATGGCTTCAGTGTATGTGATATCTACTGAATTGATAGCTTTAAAAAGCCATTTCTTGAGCACAATGGTATATATTAAAATTTCATGTTTGGGTACATTGTATACAGGAAGCAGAGAGTGCTCCACAGCTGAAACAATTCTCCTTTTGTATTTCAGGTTAAATGATAGTGAAATTGAAAGGCATCACTTTAAAGATTCAGATATGTATTCAGATAAATCAGATAGGGAAAATGATCATGATCGTGATGAGTCAGATAATGATGGCTTGGGAGAAAGTGATACTGACACATCAGAGCGACAGGATGACTCGTACATTGACCCTGATCCTGATAATCTCAAAGAAACAACATATATAGAAGAAGCTCATGAAGAACTTGGGGAGGTAAAAAAAAAGTGCTTTTAGCTAATAATAATAATTATTTATATATATATATTAATCTTTCAAAACTGAACTTGACCACCAGGATGGATATGATAACTTTATTACGGTCAAGGACCAGCAAGAATTGAACATCAGTGGAAATCAGTCCAGAAAAGGTCAAATGAAAAATGACTTGTTGTAACATGAGTAACTAGTTTATTCTTTCCTGATCCTGTAACTGTAGATGAGTTTTGGAATCATTGGTAAACTAATTTTCAGGCAATTTAAAGAGTAACAAAACTATTAGAGATTTTTTGAAGATCAGCCAGAGGTAGTGGAGTACTAAAAAGGGCTTGACAGATCAAAATGCTGAGTCAGATGTAGTGGGCTGCTGTTTTACATGAGCCAACATAAGAAAGTGGACAGTCTGAACTAGAACACCAGTTCAGATAAGCAACAAGAATATGGCCAAGTAATGTTCCCTTTTAACTTTCTGTCCCACAGCGTGGGAGCCTCGCTCTTTGTGCATGGGAGTGGGTAGGGATTCATTCAAAACAGGAAGTAAACAAACTGGCTGCCTGTGTGCAACCCCGATGGACCTCTGGGCAAGCATGCATACACACATTTAGAGGGAATATTGTGGCCAGAGATGGAGATCAAGAAAATAGAATGTCTGTATCTCATTGTAGCTACTCATTGTCATGTCTGATAATAGCTAGTGTTTATTCAAATGCTTTTCCTACATCTCCACTGTAAGTTAGATGCTCAGTCAGGGTTGCAGGTTCAGATAGTTGTTTTTAAGTAAGTCTAGTTGTAAGAAACATGCACTAACAAACATGGTATCAGAGCCATACAAAATCCATTTAAATTAGCCCTTCATCTGAGAATAGATTGCATAGAGATTTCTGAGCTTCTGTGCCCCAAACCAAGTATCTTCTGCAAACATAACATTGTAATCAGTACCTTGTTTCTCCCTACAATTTATTGTGTATTCACTGAAGGCAGGAGAAGCTTCTCAAACGGAAACTGTATCAGAAGAGAACAAGAGTTTGATCTGGACACTATTGAAACAAGTACGCCCAGGAATGGACCTCTCCAAGGTGGTGCTGCCTACATTTATTTTGGAAACACGTTCTTTCCTGGACAAACTCTCTGATTACTACTATCATGCAGACTTCTTATCTGAGTGAGTTGTCTTAATTATTCTGAAGAAAACAGATTTTTGTGTTATCTCAGTATTTTGTGGTTCAACAGCTTGCAAAAGTATTTTATGGGTTAAATGGAGACAACAAAAATAGAAGTGTTGCATTAAGATCTTTGAGACTAATACATTATTTCACTTTGAGCTTCCAGGGATGCAGTCAACTGATTTTGTTAAAGCACTCCAAAGACAAAAGTAGTAGATCACTAAACTCACACACAGAGGCTAGCTTTCAACTCTGTGCGAGTATGTGAGATTTTACTGGTCTAATGAAGGGGTCTCCCATCCTTGTCTTTGGATGGTATACAAGGACCACATGACTTTTTCTCTCAGTTTATATGACTAAATAGTAAAGATCTTGAAAAGAGAAAGGGTTTCTTTTTCCTATGTTTTGTGTTACGGGGGAAGGTCAAGGCTAATTGGCACAGCGCATATGCTGGAACAGAATTATATTTTATCTGTTTGTGAGGGTTCAGTTTTCGGGGCTGTTTGTTCTCCAAATAAAGGACGAGTCGGTTGAGGTAAATCAAAAGGTTCCGTATTTATTGCAACATCAACTCCAACAGGGTTTACTCCTAAGAAAGGGTTCAGAGATTCTTGCAACACGTTACTTGGTTTTAATGGGGTCCATAAACTATTTACAAAAGGGTTGGTTATCTCTGGGTTCCAAGGTCCTGTTAATATCGGCACAGTCCCCTGCCCAGGGTCCAATTCTTCTTCCAGTGAGATCAACGGAATAGTCTCTTCGTCCCCACTCCACTCGCCCCAGGACGACCCGTCTCCAGCATAAACTCCCCAGGGGCCGGGTAACCCCCCACCTTCCTCAACTCGGCTATATGCCATTGCTTCTTACGTTCTTACGGCTTCTCTTTCCTCTCGGAGCTTCCTCCTCCACTCCTTTGCCTCAGTCTCACCCCAGTATGACGGGCGAGGCTTTAGTCCCAGTTGACGGCGTTTCTCGGCCTCCTCATGGGGGACTCGGACCTGCTCCCACTTGTGGGTCCAAGGATCCTCCATCCAGATCCACTCCCATCCCCCCGGTATCTCTCTTGGCTTTCCCCTTATATTTCCCGCCGCCGCCTCAATCTCCTCCCTCCCTCTTCCCGCCAAAGACTTCCCGGGTCCCGGGGAAAAGGTTAACCCTTTCAGCGTCGCCTCCAGGTCTTGGGTATCTACCCCCTTATCCAAGGTAAGGGGTTCGGCGACCACTTGATCCCAATCAGGGGTCTCCACGCCTTTCTCTTCCCAATGCGTTGGGGACGGAGGTGGGGATGTCTGGGTGTGTAGGGTTCTCTTTGAGAGCGACGGCACTCCCACTAAGGCCTCTATTTTGGGGGCCTCACACTGTAAAATCATAATTGCTAAATCTATTTTAAAAACAAAAATATAAAACTGTGTTCCTTACTATTTTATTGAACCCTAAGTTTCTTTTTACTTCTATGAAGCCACATTGTTTTTTTTAAATTGTAAACAAATGTAGGCAACAAAGGAATCTTGTTGAAAACAATAGAAATTGTATAGAAATGTCTAGAAAGGACGAATTAACTCAGTCTAAATTTCATATTTGACAAACCTGATGAATTATTTTCTAGAGCTGCTGTGGAAGAGAATCCTTATAATCGTATGAAACAAGTTGTGAAATGGTATTTGTCAGGATTCTACAAAAAACCAAAGGTAATAAATACTTAGCACACTTTTTTTGTGGTAGTACTTCATTTAATTCTCATTTAATGGTTTGCGGTCAAATGCATTGAAAAGCCTCATAGAACTCTGTCAATGTTCTCAGACTGTGCTCTATGAGCTCTGTACCACAGAAAAGAAGAAAATTAATTCTTGCCTATAGATCTTAAGAGCACAATAAACTTATTTTATACAGCCAAGATTGTTGGCTAAAACCAGTTGATTGGAATATGTCTAATAAGTATTAATATCACTATTTTCAGGTCTGTTTCTAAATACAATTCAAAGCACTGATGCATACCTTTGTTAAATGCTAAACCTGTTAATGGTTTAGGACCAGCATGTGCACCCAGATAATTTACCTTCAAAGGCTCTCCTCCAGATGCCACTCACCTAATAAGGTGGAGGTGACCAGTATTAATGCCCTGCTTGTAGAATTCCTCCCGTAAAGTGCCACTATGATTATCTTTGTGGTACCATGCAAAACAAAGATATATTTACTTTCCTAGGCATATTAATTTTTAAAATATAGTTATTTTAGTTGTACCTGATTCAGTTTTGTAGACTACCTTGGATGCTCAGTTAGGCTTAGTTATTGCCTAGGAATATTTTTAAATAAATAGCTGTGGGGTTAACTACAATACTGTTGTTGTAACTGAATTATTTTTGATACAGTTCACCTTTGTACAGCTGTGTTCTACGAAAGCAGGAAGGTTCTCAAATAAAATGTTATTGTCTTACCTGCAAATTACCTAAATACAACTCATATATTTTATTTTTATGGGTCTTGGCTTATATATGACTCCCAACTGCACTAGTGTGTTCAAAATTGCTTTAAGTTTTCCTGCCAACCACGGATTTATGTCCAAGGTATTTCAGATACCATTTTAAAAGACGTTTGCTCACAGTCAGTCATGTTCGCACTTCAACCTTTATAAATAGGCCCTTCTGTGTTTCTTCCAAAGACGTTTCTTCTGCAAGTAGATCCAAATCTACTGTTGATCTGCTTCTGCTCTGATATCCTGAGATACAGTTTTACTATATCCTTGCATTGTTGAATCTTCTAAAAGTTTTCACATGATAAATTGTTAGGCTATTTTGAAATTGCATTTTCTGTATTTTTAAAATCTTGTATTTCTTTTTAGGGACTTAAAAAACCATATAATCCAATACTTGGTGAGACCTTTCGTTGTATGTGGGTTCATCCAAAGACAAATAGCAAGACATTTTATATCGCTGAACAGGTATTATAAAAAATGTGAGATCAGTCTTGTATTTGAATTATTAGCAGCCTCTTTACATTTCTTTATACAGTGTTTTTAATCAGTGATTATTGGTGGTATCATAATTATTCAGTGGAACAAGGTGTTTTGATTCAAGTTTTTTATTTATAAAAATAAGTTTGGTTATAACAGAATGAGATTGTTTCTTTTGGAACCATTTGGTTGTTCTCAACTTCTTGTAAGGAAGATATTAAAGTCCCCCATTAGCAAGTTTGAGGTGTTTGGGCATTTAAAGACTATGTCTATGTGCATGGCACATTTAGGCAACTTAGTAATATAATAATTTGTTTATATTTCTATCCCAGAGTTGTCCCAGATACTATAATGCAAAATAAGGAGATAATAGGGAAGGATATTGAATTACAAGAACTGTATGAAATCAGGGAAGTGGTATTAAAAATAATCTTTAAAAATAATTAAAAAGATTCAGAATCCTTTTATAAAAAATTTAATAGTGATATGGAATAAATGGAGACAGATATTATCTCCCTTAACCCCAGTAACAGAATTGGAAACATTCCTAAAATATGGATTTAAAGATTTAACAAGTGTCTTAAAAAGAAAACAGATATACAAATGAGAAGAAAATTAAAACTAAAAAATTTGATAACTACAGCTCGATTGCTTGTAGTGAAGAATTGAGATTTCCAGCTGCAAGAGTGGTACAATGAAATGTGGAATATAGCAGTTAATGATAAACTGAGTTCAGAAATTAAGTTTAAAAACAGAGGTAAAGGTTACTAGATTCAGTGAAATATGGGAAGAATTTATAAACGCTGTATTGTGTAAAGGGAAAGAGAAAAACTGGGCAATGAATATACAGTGGTGCCTCGCACAACGATGTTAATTGGTTCCAAAAAATTAATCGCTGTGTGAAACCGTCGTTCTGCGAAACACCATTTCCCATAGGAATGCATTGAAAACCGGTTAGTCCTTAAGCGAAAATCGCCACAGGAAACATCGTTGAGTGAAACCCGGTTCCCCAATTGAAATGCATTGAAGCCAACTCAATGCATTTTAATGGCTTTGCGAAGTCCTTTTTCGCTCCTGTAAAAGTGTCTTAAACTGTTAGAAACCTGTTTTAAATGCTTGCAATCGTTAGCCCACCTCCTGAACCCTATGCAAACTTAATTTGGTGTTGTTCTGAGTCGTCGTTAATTTTTGGTGATTTTTTTAATACTCCATTGAAAGCCTTTGAACGGATCGTTCAAAGGCTTTCAATGGAGAATAAAAAAATTCATCAAAAATTAACGACGACTCAGAATAACACCAAATTACGTTTGCATAGGGTTCAGGAGGTGGGCTAACGATTGCAAGCATTTAAAACATGTTCCAAACATTGTAAGACACTTAAGAATGAGCGAAAACGGAAGAGCTTCAAAAGCACTGAAGCCAGCTTCAGTGCTTTTGAAGTCCTTTCCGATGTCTGTTTTCACTCATTTTTAAGTGTCTTACAATGTTTGAAACCTGTTTTAAATGCCTGCAATCGTTAGCCCACCTCCTGAACCCTATGCAAACTTAATTTGGTGTTGTTCTGAGTCGTCGTTAAGTTTTGGTGATTTTTTTAATTCTCCATTGAAAGCCTTTGAACGATTGCAAGCATTTAAACAGGTTTCTAACAGTTTAAGACACTTTTACAGGAGCGAAAAAGGGACATCGTTGAGTGAAATTCCCCCATAGAGAACATCGTTAAACGATGGGGGAAATTCCTCAAAAAAACCCATCGCTGTGTGAATTCGTCGTTGTATGAAGCAATCGTTGTGCAAGGCACCACTGTATGTATGTTCAGAAGGACTTTGGAGATGGATAAAGGAGAAAGTAGAGTATGATTAGAAGTCCAAGTATGTGAGATATAATGGTCCCGAGGGGAAGGGGTGCACTTGTATTTTGTCTTTATATATTTAGTAAGTTTTATTTGTTTATAGTATATGTATCTAAAAAAGGAAAAAAGGCTGTGGAACTGAGCATGTCTATGTGCAGGATACATTTAGGCAGCTTAGTAGGAACAGTCTCATTTGGAAATAACTTATTTGCATTTCTCACTTTAAAAATCTTATAACTGTTGTAGGTCATGTATCTTGGAATATTTTAATTTAGATGTCTTTTCTATGACAGATTATCATGTAAACGATTGTCAAGACTAAAATGATAATGGTTTAAAAAGATTCATTGTCCAATTAAGCAATAAAACTGTTTGCTGAAATGCAAAGATGGGGCACTCAAATGAACATGAAGTCTATAAATGGAGATGCCATCCCTGTGAATTACAACATCTCCCCCCTCCCTGGCCCTTCATTCTGTGTCAGTATGACAGTGCCTGCTAGGAAGACCTCCTGCCCCTTCTTCCCTGCTCTTACTATACATGCTGCACCAGTCTCCTCACATGCAGTTAAATCAGAGGTCCTTGCAAAGTGGTTGACCTTTTTTTAAAAGTTTTATGATACTTATGGTCATAAGGAATTGCAGCTGCTTGCACATATAGGATTTAGAATTTCAGATTATAAATCTAGTGAACTTTTCAGTTGCTTCCATGATTTTCACAGATCACCTGCTTTTTAACAGGTATCTCATCATCCTCCAATATCTGCATTCTATGTAAGCAATCGAAAGGATGGATTTTGCCTTAGTGGCAATATTTTGGCCAAATCTAAGTTTTATGGTAAGTCTTTCAAATCCTACAGTGCATTACATATCTACAAAAACAAGCCTATAGTTAAGCATGTTTATGGAATAAATCTTTACAGTATCTAAAGTAAAAATTAATGAAAGCGGTGAAGAAAATTGAAAGTGGTTCAGTCTGGTAAATGTTCTGTTTCCTTTGTGTGACATGCTGCTTTGAATACCCAATTTTTATTGTTTTTCAGGAAATTCATTATCTGCCATTTTGGATGGTGAAGGACGACTGATGTTTCTGAACAGAGGAGAGGAATATGTAATGACCATGCCATATGCACATTGTAAAGGTATTGTCCTCCATCCACCAAGGTTTATAAATACTAACTGGCTTTCTAGTCAGTTCAACTTCACTACCCGTTCCTTTACCTTTACACCTTGGCAAGTACAGAGAACTTGAGAAAGAATTGTAACCAGAGCACAGAGTGCTGTCCTCTGAAGATCCTGGCCACAGAGACTGGCGAAACGTTAGGAAGAACAACCTTCAGAACACAGCCAAAGAGCCCGAAAAACCCACAACAACCATTAGATCCCAGCCGTGAAAGCCTTCACAAATACAGTGGTGCCTCGCATAACGAGTGCACCGTTTAACGACGAATCTGCATAGCGATCTAATTTTTTTAGATCGCTAATGCGATTGCATTGCGATGTTCAGTGCTTTTGCCGGCTTCAGTGCTTTTGAATGGCTTTCCCTTGGGGGAAACATTGTTTCACTTAGCAATGTTTCCTATGGGGATTTTCGCTTAAGGACGGCAATCCGTTCCCATTGGAACGGATTAACCGGTTTTCAATGCATTCCTATGGGAAATGGTGTTTCGCTTAACGATGTTTTCCCATAGCGATGTTTTTTTTGGAACCAATTAACATCGTTAAGCGAGGCACCACTGTACCACTTCATCAAGTCCTCAGTGTTTGCTTAAGTAAGAAGGGGAAACCGAATCTCCTCCTTTTTGTGAGAAGCACAAGTATTGCTTGGTTTTTCCAGAGTTTCCTATAAGGGAAAACAATATACTACATTATACCATCTAGCTCAATGGTTCTTAACCTTTGTTACTCGGATGCTTTTGAACTGCAACTCCCGGAAACCCCAGTCAGGACAGCTGGTGGTGAAGGCTTCTGGGAGTTGCAGTCCAAAACCCCTTAGTAACCCAAGGTTAAGAACCAGTGATCTAGCTAACACTAACGATTAAGGGAGAGGCAGAATCTCAAATCACTGGAATGAATTTTTTGGATAAGGGATGAAACAACAGAAGAAATGGTGTTTCTTACAACAGAGGCAGGATACCAGCTGTAAAGACATATTTTTTCAAGATCCATTTGTGTGCAATCACAGTGTTTATCTCCTAATGACACTAACAAGCTGATCCTTGTGGTAGGAAAAATAAATGCTCTTTAACTCTTCAGGGAGCTCTACTTCTAACTGCAAACTTACATTGTTTATCTTTTTTCTCTTAAATGAAAGTAAATGCTTGTTAGAGTCCTCTATAAAGACTACTTTGTAGGATAATATTATGTAGGGCAGAGATAAGCAACTTGTTAGGGTACAGGGGTTATTTTTACCTCTCCCTTGTCTTGGGAGAACCACATCTACTCATCACCTTGGGAAACATTTTTAGTTACGAGGAAAACCCTTCTCATCCCCCCCCCCGCTCCCCCAAAGCCTTTTGCGATGTGGTTTGCCGTTTTAACAGCCTCATTTTTATGACCTTCCCATTTTTAGCCAGAAGAGGCTTCCCCTTCCCCAAGAAAGGAATTGATTGTATTTAAAAAAAAACAGGAAGTGACCATCTATTCCCTTCTGGCCTAAGATAGACCTGGTGGGGGATAATATGTAAATAGTGAATTACTTACCCCAGAGAATTTTTGGGGCATAGTTTTCCAAGCGTGGGAAGCTGGGATATCCTTGAAGGGTTGCCTGTGACTTAAACGCTGCACTTTGCGAACTATGACTTAAAATGTCTGCTCTCTGCAATCAGTGGCAGTTTTATTCATGGTTCTTCTTTGTCATCTCTATGACTCACATTTATGGGTTCTGCACAAGCATTCCACAGATGGAAAGTTCTGAAGCTCCAACCCTTTTCTCCTCCCCATCGCCCTTGAACATGCTCAGACTGTCTCCTATGGCCCTCCCTTTGTTCCCTTTTTTATTCCACAAGAGCGGCAGCTTGGTGTTCAAGTTGACTTCTCATGAATTGCAACAAGAACAATTTAGTTTTGATGTGTAGTCTTCTGCTGGATTTATAGGAAAGCTAGAAATAAAACAAATTCTTTTTCTTATAGGAATTCTTTATGGTACAATGACTTTAGAGCTTGGAGGAACTGTTAACATCACATGTGAAAAAACAGGATACAGTGCTGCCCTTGAATTCAAACTAAAGGTCAGTTGGACCTGTTCATAGACAGTAGATTTAAATGGAGAAAAATGGTAAATACGTTTTTAAAAGGATGTTAAGTCTTTGTATTTCATTCTCATACATGAGAACAATGTTAAAGGTTTGTCTCTGCTGGATAAGACTATGATAGTTCATTCGCATTTTTCATACTTGGGTGTTTTTGTTTTTTGTTTTGCTTTTGTGTTTGGTTTTTTGCAAAAAAAAATTTGAAGGGTTTTTTTGTGGGGGGAAAACACTTGTTTTGCACAAAATATATTGATGGTGACATCCCCACCCCACCCCAGGTGCTTATCTCTGACCATCATGCAAGAGTGAAAAATCTCACTGTGGTTGGCAGTTTTATTAGTAGAATACCCCAATGTATTTAGATCTTCTTTTAGCAAGGGTGAAAAGCAATTTTAAATATTTCTTACATTCTTAAAACTCCAAACCCTTTTGTCCAAACCCTTTCTTTTGTTTGAAAGAATCACAGGGAAAGTAAATCATATTGACTCTATTCTGTGCACAGAGCCCTCCTCTAACAATGACAGTAGTTTATGCTTGAAGACAGTGCCACAAGACAGTATCTTGCCTTGTCCTTTTTATAATGCCATGCTCTAGACAAAATCTTTTGGTGATATACAGTATGTGTGCATAATTTGAACTGTGTAACTTATTCAGTAAGGAGAATTCAGTGCCTGGTTTGATACCTTGAACTAATTTAGGCTGATATTTTAGAAATCACTTAGCAGTCTTTCCTATTATATAAAATGTTGGAGTGTTTCGCAGTTTTCTCAAACATATATTCCTTCTTGTTTAATAGCCATTTTTAGGCAACAATGAGAATGTAAATCAAATAGTGGGAAAAATTAAACTGGGAAAAGAAGTTCTAGCTACTCTGGAAGGCCACTGGGTAAGTAACATACAGTAGTTCTGTTTCTTTTTTTTAAAAAAACTGTTTTATATTCTTGCAACAGATAAGAATGCATTGTTCCAAGTCTGCCATGAATATACAGTGGTGCCTCGCTTAACGAGCGCACCGTTTAACGAAGAATCCGCATAGCGACCCGTTTTTTGGGGTCGCTAATGCGATCGCATTGCGATGTTTAGATAGGCTAAACATCGCATTGCGATCATTTCTGCACCCGGCGGCCATTTTGGGAACAGCTGATCGGCGGTTCCAAAATGGCCGCCGGGTGCAGAAAATGGCCGCCCACACCATTTTCGCGCCCTGCCCTCGCTTACCGAGGGCACGAAAATGGCAGCGCTATGGAGAAACTTGCAGAACGGTGAGTTTAAGAGCCATAGGAACTCATTAAACTAAGTTTAATGCGTTTCTATGGCGTTTTCCGTTCCATATAGTGATGTTTCCCCATAGCGACGGTTAATTCGGAACGGATTAACCTCGCTATGCGGGGCACCACTGTATTTGCATATTGTAATGCTAGATGAGTACCCATGGTGATTTTGTTAATCTGGAGATGCTTTCAAAGGTAAAGTAATTGTGTCTGAGCACAAAGTCACTGTAGGTAATAGCTAGTTGAGTTTTCATCTTGACTGGTATTTCTAATGATCTGTAGTCCTGTCATAATGTGGGATGTTGGTATAAAAGGCTTCAACATCAAAAGTTGATGTTGTAAGTGGACTGTAGTTTCCTCGGTAGGTCTAGAGTGTCTCTTGTGTAGATAAGGTCATTGGTAGCATATGATTGGAGGATGGAGCCCAGATAGAACTGATGACTCCAAACTGTGGAGGAGCAATTTATATTCCAGTAGATTTATTACCACAGCTGAAAATTATCTTACAGATGTATGCTAGTTAAATGTTTCCATTATAGATATCTTTGAATTTCTGATAGTGAGTTGAGAGTCACAGGTGGGTGGTGAGGTCATCATTGGTAGATTTCACTTTTAGGGGTAGATTAGAAGAACCTTGAAATTTAGTGGACTACATTCCACTAATTGTTCACTTAGTAACAAGATTTAGAGATTACTGTATTTCACCAACAACAGTCCAAAACTCAACTGAAACTGAATTATTCCTTTCCCTTGAATCAGGTTCTTGGTGCTGAAATAAGGAGAACTATTTTCATGTGTAACTTTCAGCTGTTGAAACTGACACAATAAATTTTTGCCTACAAAAAGTGATTTTCTGAAGAAAATTTTTCTTGTTAACTGACTTTGTAGAATTATTTACTCTTTGGCTGTTGAAGTAATCTAACACGTTAACTATTGCAGGATAGTGAAGTTATTATTAGAGACAAAAAGACAGATGCTGTGGAGACATTTTGGAATCCAGTACCTGAAATCAGGCAGCACAGATTGAGAAGATACACAGTGAAGTTTGAAGAGCAAGGTGACTTTGAGTCAGAAAAGTAAGTTTACTGTATATCTACACTTGTTACAGGTTAATACACCAGAACTGTGCAGTTAATGGCTGAAGTACAGACAGTAAATGGAAAACATAATCCAGTGAAAAAATAAATGAATTTGTGCTGTTTCTGAATATTAAAACTTTATTGTTTTGTGTAATAGACTTTGGCAACATGTGACTCGAGCTATAAACAGCAAAGACCAAGCAGAAGCAACTAATGAAAAATGTATTCTGGAGGAAGCTCAGAGAAAAGCTGCCAAAGAAAGAAAAGCCCACGGTGAAGAATGGATGTGCAAACTGTTTGACCCAGATCCTCTCACAGGAGAATGGAATTACAGATATGCAGAGTAGGTCACAATTAGTGGGAGTAGCAAAATCATTTTTCTCCACTCAAGTCACTGGTAAACAAATCTGAAAATCACATTCTATGTAGCAGCCACTATCCAAGACAGATTTGGGGACCGTTAATTCTGCATCTTGTGACACCTTTAAAGATTAATAAGTTTTGTCTGGCATAAATTCCCATAGACTGCAACTTACTTCATCCTGTGCATCATCGACTGCAATTCATAAATTCTGCCAAATAAAACATCTTCGTCTTTAAGGTGCCAGAAGACTTTTTGGGGTTTTTTTTGCTGAAACCGACTTAACCCTATTGCCCCCCAATTCCTAATAAGATGATACAGAGACATTTTTGTATAACTTCACATGTATTTTTTTTTATTGTAATTGATGCCCATTCATTTTCTTATTCTAACTGGTCATTTTTCTGCCTTGTTTTATCAGCTTGGATTGTCAGTATAATTAGTAATTGACAAAGGATCTAATTCTGGTTTGACAAATTTCATAGAGCAAAATCCTGTAGGTGCAATTCTGCAAGTGTAAACCGGATCACAACACAGGAAATAATCATTTGAAGTTAATTTAAAGCTTCCTATCCTTCATTTCTGCTTCCAAGGCCCAATTTTGGTTTACCTGCATTGGTTACTGTTTCACTTTTGTGCCAGGTTCAAGGCTTTGAACAGTTTGGGACCTTGTTCCTTGTCTCAATGTCTTCTCCCAAGTTTGACTGCCTGTCTGACCAGGTCCTCACATGTGGATATTGATACATTGAGAGCTCCAGAAAATGGCAAACAGAAGCCAGGCTTTCTTTATTGTGGCACCTCTGTGGAATGCGCTGCCTCAGGAGCTATGCCAGGCACCCTCTCTTCTTTTCTTTAAAAAACAATTAAAAATAGAGTTTTTAAAGTAAGCTTTTGGGGAGGTTCTCATCAAATGGTTGAAGTAAAAGGGGAAGAAGCGACACATGGTATGCTGATGAACAAGTTTTTGCAGCCTGTCTTGTTTATTTCTTAGAAAGTAGGTTTAGCTTGTTATAATTGCCTTATATAAAACTGCTTTTCTTTCTGTTGCACACTGCCCAAAGTAGCTTGATGGGCAGTATAAAAATTAAATAAATAAAATAAATAAACCTTCTTATATACATCAAGTCATCAAGTCCTTGCCCTCAAATGTTACGCAGCATACACAGTTGGTTCATAGTTGTACAGTGGTGCCCGCAAGACGATTGCCTCGCAAGATGAAAAACTCGCTGGACAAATGGGTCCAGCGAGGGTTTTTGTGCTTCACAAGACGATGTTTCCTATGGCCCTGTTTCGCAAGACGAAGTCCCCGGGGAGGCTTCTGAAAGTGGTGCTTTGTGGGGGGGGGCAGGGTGTGTGTGTTCTTCTCTGCTTCCGCCCGCCTCACAGCTGATTGGTGCAGGGTGTCAGAGGCTTCTCTGGGCTTTCCCAGCAGGTAAACAGGCAGTGGAAATGCACTGGGGAAGCCTCTGAAGCGGCGCTGTGGGGCTGGGTGGGAAGGGGTGGGTGGCAGACCTGCCCCTGCCACCCCTCCCCACTCCCACCCTGGCAAAGCGCTGCTTTCAAAAGACTCCCGGGGCTTGTTCAGCAGTGGAAAAGCACCCAGGAGGCTTCTGAAAGCTGCGCTTTGCCTGCGGGGTGGTGGTGGTGGTGGTGGTGGGCCTGCCCCTTTCGAATCTCCATCTTCTCTTTTCCTAAAAAGATAGTTATAAAGGTGTTTTGTTCTTTTATATCCTGAGGTTGTAGCATGTAGCTAAAATTCAAACACAACACATTGGATGCTCCTGCACACACATTCTGGTTATGGTTGGTAAATTGCCTCATCTTTTTCCACCAACCAGAGTGCCTTGAGTGGAACTTAGCCCAGGGAATGTTCTTCCTGATAGGTGGAACCACTGGATCATCAAATACTTGGTACATTTGAAGAACAGATTCTCATAATTAATTTATTTTCATCTCTAGATGAAGAGCCCTTCTAGGTGTTAGCTGAGATGCATAAGGATTGATACATGTCATTAAGAATTATTCCTTTGAACTCCCTTCATTTTCCAAAGAATATTTCCCTAGAGGTAGTAGGGTTGAAATAGTACTTATTGTATATCAGTCTTAGAACATGCTATCTGTTGCCCACAGCACAAGACCATGGGATCCACTGAATGATATGATCCAGTTTGAAAAAGATGGTGCCATTCAAACAAAAGTCAGACATAGGACACCAATGGTATGTTCTTGTAAAGAGATGTTTTTGGTTTTGGTTAGCTACTACATTAACTGAAGTGACTGGAACTGCAGATTTCCTTTAGTATTCCAATGTTAGTACATTTTTGAGGATTTTGTGAGTCAACACCTTGATATATATTCTATTGATTCAAATCAGCCTACTCTATTTGTACCTTCCTTTAGAGATATAAGTTGCAATTCAAGTAGACCCATGTGAGTCAGTGGAACTTAAATAGAAATGGACTTACCAAATCACCACTGATTCGGTAGGCTTACTCTAGTGTGACTTGTTATGCTAAGTAACAGGGTTTTAGCATTTTAATTCTATTCTAAAATATTCATGGCTTTATTAATAAATGTTGTGGAAGTAATCTCTTCATATCCCTGGGTATCTTGCCTGCCATTTTATATTGAAAAGCAGATCTCATACAAGGTGTTCTTATCTAACATGTTTTATCTCTAGTAGAATTGGATTGAGATGTGCCACTCTGTGAACAGAGATACATTTGTGGTTCAAAGAGGGAACTAGGATCCACTAAAGTGGAGTAAGGCTGTAGAGCTGTGATTTTCATTCCCCCACTTCCTCCTTTGTCACCTCCTACACTGTTCCAAAAGGTGGCCCAGTCTTCCAAAACAGAATGGAAGGTGGCTCTGGAAGTTGCAGGAACGGGGGAAATAGTGAAATTGCTACCCTGCTCTGTCTTCAAGTAGTGGCAAAACTACATGGAATATATCTGGATCCAACTCCTTGTTTCTGAGCAGAAGTATTTTGGATTTATGAATTACAGGTCAGTGTTCCCAAAATAAAAAGATCTGCTAAGTCAAAGAAAGGGGAGTGTGGCTTCTCCTCACCAGAACCTGATAACCAGGACTCCTCAGGAAGTGAAGGTAAGTGCAATATCTCTTTATCATCCCCCTTTTATTCAGTTACATTTATCATTAATATAATAAATTTGTGTCATAACTTTGAGGGTGACTATGTGGGCATTTAGCCCATGAACAAAAGCAAACTTGTCACTGTCAGTCTGCCTTTCTCTTTCACTTTCCCATAGCATGAAGTGGCTTAAGAAGACAATTAAACACATCCTCTGCTTCTGTGTGGAGGGGCAGGTGAAGTAATTTGTTTTTACACAATAATAGGGCACTGCATCACTTACAAAAAAATAAAAATTGGAATCTTACTGGAATGTGCCTGTAGATAAATTCACCCCTGACTACCAGCTGGGAGTGGATTCAGCTTTGGGCAGATTCTGAGAAGAAGTTTGCAATTTTCCTTTTTTTATATAAGGGATGCAGCACATCAGCGCTGCCCTAATACAGTGTAAGTTGTTTCTTTTACTTCTGATCCTCCATGATCCATGGAAGAGCAGATGAAGAGTTTAACTTCCCAATATCATGAAAATCAAAGAGGAAAGTGCTGAACCAAATAGGATCACTTGAGGTAAATAAGCCATTTCCATATGAGGTTCACACTAAATGGTATACCAGATCTTGACTGAACCTCACCTGACCCTATTTAGCCCACTTCACTCGGATGGGCGTGTGTATACAAGCTAAATCTTTACTCCCCTCTAGTCTAAAGGGATTCTGTTCTAAAAGACACATAATTTTAGGATTGGCTGCATATTTCTGTCACAATTAACAGAATTTAAACATGAAAAAGGTGCACAGTCTCTTGTGATGAATTAAATTTTTTTGATGTGATTTACATGATTTATACATTTAATCTATTTACATTCTTTGAATTGATTTTGAAGCACAACTCAAACACAATACAAGAATTCGAAAGAAGACATTAGACCTTGGTGAACTGCAGAGTGCCATTGAATCTATAAGGGCGACACAGGAAGACATTAGGAGGTAGGAATGTTACTGTATTTTATTTTATTTTTTGCAATATCATATTCTGTTTTTACTATGAGTTCTTCATTTCAAAAAAGGCACCACTTATGTGTAATAAAATAACATACTATTAAACTTTTATATTATCTACATTTTAGATAAGAGTCACTCTTTTGGGACATAGGAGTATCTTAAATTTTCTCTTACCAATTTCCTTGTATCTGTTGACTTTTTGTGTCTTCACATTTTTTTCACCTCAGTAAGAGAAAGCTGTGTTTTTCTTACTGTACCACTTTGATAACCTGCAGAGCACTGTGTAAACTAATTTATTCTACATGACAGATACAAAATGCAGTTCTGCAGTGCATATTGATATGGCAATGCTTTTTAAAATCTTGGAGTGTAATTGTGCTTTTTCAGAAATGAATTGATTTATATTAAATGAAACAAATGTAAATAAAGTATTTCTTTTGTAGATTAATGTTTAATATGCTATATTTTTCTCAGAAATACTCAGAATGATGCATCATTCTAAAGGTCTGCTGCCAGAATGCCTCATAATTTCTTGGGAATCACAAATACCAAGTGAAAGTATTTTATTGCTAAAGTTTCCAGGACTACTGCAGCAGATTAATGAAATATATATTATCCATATGCTTCCCTAGAAAGTTAGCTGTGTCCACAAAACATTGAATTTTTAATTCTGCCAGCAGGTGGGAAAGTGGGAATCTAGGTAGTTACTGAAGTTTCTGACAAGTTGACAGATAATCTTCACCTACCATGCCCTTACGATTGTAACAGTGACTAGTTAGGCTGAAATGGATTTGTGAATTTACAGGAAATAATTATCCTATAGCAACTCTGACTTTGATAAATTTGATTAGATTTAATTGTATCCCACTCTTATATCTGAAACCTTATACTATGTATTTATTTATTATATTTTATTTATATGCTGTTTTTCTCCCAGAACTAGGACCCAAAGAAACTTAGATAATAGTTTGACAATAGAAATTAAGATACAGCAACTCACAAATACTAACATAACATTTGTTATTGTTATGTGCCATCAAGTTGCTTCCAACTTATGGCAAATCTATGAATTGGTGATTTCCAAAATGTCCTGTCCTCAACAGTCCTGCTCAGCTCCTACAGACTCAAGCCTGTGGCACATAAAATTAAACCAGTGACACATAAAACATAAAATTAGCCTCATAAGTAAAATACAGTTAAATTTAAAACACTTTAAACACCTGTAATTAAAATGTTGATTAAAATACTAATTGAAATACTAATAATAGCTTACCTAGAAAGGAGATAGATAGAGAGAGAAGCAGCATATAAGCTAAAACCTATGCTGAAGTTCAGCCTAAATAACAAGATCTTTGCCTGCCAACAGAAAGACAGCAGGTTGGAGCACCACAAAGCTAGCCTCTCTCAATAAAGAGTTCCAGAGCCTGGGAGTGATCACAGAAGAAAATACTGTAAATGGAAAGAGAAAAAGTAACAAAGGGTTAAAATATGGCTCTGGAATAAAAGGGGATATTATATTAGATTGGTAACCTTTTTTGAGATTGTAGAAAGTGAACATTAATTGATTAATTAATAATATACAGTATTACAAACACACCATCTGTAATATTTGCTTTTTTGTGTTCTCAGCTGCAACAATGCATAAAAATAAAAATAGCCTTAATAAATAACTGTAACTTTATTGGTTTGTAATTAAACAGACATAAAAATATGTGAGTATATTTTAGCCATATAAATAAAGAACGAGCTTTGTTTGTGGCTTTGAAATTAATGAGAGCCCCTAGAGGATCACTGCTTAAATCATAGTCACTGGATTTTTCTTTGTTCAATTTTTTATGTGTTCCACCATCATTTATTTTTTCTGTATTCACACCCCAAATATTCAAATAGTATGGGTTATATTTTACTAAAGCTATTTGGTAGCAGATCTTCCCATGTATTTGGACAATAAGAGCTTATAGGCATTGGGACACACATAATAATGCCAACTCTATTAATGCAAACACCTCCCCAATGTCTTACATTTCTTCTGTGACAGCAAATCTTCGCCAAAGCTTCTCCCGTGTCCTGTCATATTGGTGGAAGCCATGGGTTAGGCCACAATCCTGCTAGAAATGTCACAGTTATCTAAATAGATCCCTATCCAACAGTCATGCTCTTATTATGTGACATTTTTCAGCTTCTGAGTGCTGAATTCAGTATTAACAATCTGTACATTTATCTTGTTCATTCTTTTGTTTTGTAGGGACATCATGGCTTTAAGAACTCGAATGTCTGCAAGCTCAGTGCCTCCGGATAGTAACTTTTTTCAGTTCAAACATTATGTCTTCATTTTGCTGATGATTCTCTTGCAGCTTATAATCAATTACTTGTTTAAATAGAATGCCTGAAGAGAAGAATATATATGAAGTGGAATGATTATGTTCTTCGTGGGACCATATTTTAAACCTGAGTTGGCTTCACATAAGGCAATATCATCTAACACACAGGAGCCCTGAAGACTTAGACCTTTGCCTCAAATGTTTGTGCTCTCATAGAGCAGTATATGTTATATTATATATTAGCCAGGTGATACGGACAGTGCTTACGTGCCAGTACCATTCTTTTTGCATCTTTGATATGTTGGATAACTGCCTTTCATATTTTAAAGTATTGTAGATTGTAATGATAATTGGCAGTACAGAGTGTGTCCAACTGAGCATTAAAGACTTACTTTTCATTATAACCATATAATCCCCAGTGGCCATGTTACCTAAACAAATTGAATTCAAGCCTTTTCAGAGTTTAATAGAATATTGATTCATTAGGAAAATAATATCCAGTGGCCTCAGTTTAGAAAACGTAGTAGTTGTACAAAGTTTAAAATTTCTAGCTGTTTATTATCATTAAAGGATGTCAAAATATTAATCTATAAATAGTTCATTAACCGTATCATATCACTATATCAATGATTATTTATTTAAATGATGTTTTCCTTAGTTCATGTAAATAGACTTCCAGTGAGAACAGTAGTGAATTGGTTAACCAGCCTGAGCTGCACATGGCTGTTTTAAAGTGCCCAGTGATATTTTCATCCACTTCCCCTCAAGCAGCAACTCTTCTTGACAGCCTGCAAACTGCTGCTTATATTGTCAACAAATTCAGGAACTCCTCAACAAGGGGAACATACAAGGGTTGACTCTTTGGGTACAAAAAATAGAAGCTTTAGTGGGTAATAAAAGGTTTTCTGGACTCTGTCTCTGGAATGTTAACAGAAGATGGTGTGGTTATTTTTAAAAAATCTACATTATAAACAATGGGCTTGTAAGACCAATTCAGGCTGTCTGCATGTAACTGTATCTGAATAGTTATCTCGTTGTCATCAGACTTGGATAGCAATTTAATTGTTCAAATAATAACATCCCATAGCTGCTTAATCTACCATTCAGTGCCTATTTAGCAACATTTGCTCATTAGTCTAGTTTAGTAGTCTATGCTTAATGTGATCTAAACTATAAACTTAGGTTTCTTCAAATGAAAAGCTCCCTCTTGAAAATCTGAGTAGTTTAAAAATTAAATATCGAAAGACAACACAATTTTGACTAGCATTAGTTCTATTCTGTGTGTTTACATGGCATATACACTTTTAGTTTCAGATGCATGGCAACACAGAGAACAGCAGTAAGCTTCAGTCCTTCATTACAGCAGCAACAGACACACTAAGCATGCATATGTAATACAGTTCAATTTGGAATTTAAATGACTTTAAGGAACTATTAGTTTACTTTGTTTTTATACAGTCCCAAATAGTAAGATACATGCATATAGATTTATCGGAACATGTATTTCTGATTCATATTTCCATATCCCTAACCTGTCTCTCAGTCTCCTTCATCCATTCTGCCTTATACACTATTCTTGCCAAACCTTTTTTTTTTTCAAATCCTTAAATACATTGAGCAGCATTTTCTTAGTTCCATGAGAGGTTGCTATGTGGTTTCTAAAGTTTTTAAGAAGAAATTTTAGAATGATTGTAGCACTGTTTTAGTCTTTAAAGCCACTTCACAAAGTGGCTGAGGTACTAGCATGTTTTATAAATGGGGATTATTGAAAGATATTTTATGACGTTAACAAAAGCAAACAGTTACACTATGAAAAGACTTAATGCTTTGATCTGCCTTTGTATGTAAACTATTGAGACAACAAATTATTCATCCTGCAATAGTCATCTCTCAAAACTATCCTGTCTGTTCTTCTTTTTGGTTCTTTGATCCTATCTGCTATTGCACACAAATACTGTGCTTTGTCTTCACCTACTCACTCTCTTATGTTTTGTTTATGATTTTTTTTCTTGGTAAGCAGTAGGTAGGAAATGTATTTAATTTTTTGGTTTCTTTTAGGCCAGAGATGGAGAATATAAATGCCATTCAGATGTTGTTGAGCTGCATCCCTCTCTATTGGGCTTGCAGGCTGACTGACAGGAGTCACACTCAACTACATCTGGAGTCCCATGTTTTTCATCACTGTTTTAGGCATTACTTCTTTTAAGAAAGCAAAGATTAATTTTTCTGTGACAAAGTTAAATTACAGGAATTCACCATCTTGTGTTAAACATAAAAAAGCACAGCTTATTAACACCTAAATTTCTGTGTTCTTTAGCTGGAGTATTTTGTTAGACAGTGAAACCGCAGTGCTTTTTTTCTGACACCAGCTTGTGTGAGCTGAAAAAGGAATTTTTTGTCTGATTACTTTTTAAATGGTATAACTGAGTATGAGCCTGATTTATGAAATGTTTCTTCATATATAATATTTAACCATGTATTATATGACCTTAAAATCCATCCTTCATATTGACTGTATTCTGCACATACTAACAAAAGAACTGTGATTGTATAGTTTTTCGAACTCTTGAGGATAATGGCCTCTTCGTTAATATTTAGTATTTAATGGAAAACACTTGATTTCTCAATCAGTCATGTGTGATTAGCATTGTACATAAGTAGAAAATACTCAGAATTGTTTGTTTTTGCCATATTTATGGCTGTTTGTTTAAAGAAAATGCACTATAAGCCTTTAATATGCCATGTAACCATTAACAAAATGAAAAGAAATGTGTTGTGTGTAAAAAGAGTTCTGGCAATATACAGTTTCTTGTGTCTCATGTAATGGTTAGTTTTTACCAGTTAGGCATCCCCTTAACTGTATAGCATGCTTACTTTTCATGAGAATTCATTCAAACAGCTAATCTGTACAATGTATCAGATTTATAATTCACTGCCCTCTTGTGCCTTTGGGAAAATCCTCTTGCCAATTCAATATTAATGAAATAGAACTGTAGTTAAATACATTTCTGTCATCCTCCATGCTTAATTGCTATCTCTTATTCATGATTTTTATCTTATTGTAAATAGAATACTTAACTGCTGAACTGAGTGATTACTGTGTTTCTATTGTATCCTCAATCTGAGGGCATTTTTGAGAGCTGGCCATCAGATACCTGAGTACTGAAACAGTGCCTTGATGGAGTTCACACAGAGGTGAGGTGTGTATATATGAAGATGTTGTTAAGGCTGTGCCATATCTCTTCATAAAACTTTGTGGAAATTGTTACATTTCCAAAATAAAGTTTTAAAATGTTTATAGAAAGATATGGTACAATTATAGAAAAACACATCAGTTTTTCCCCCTTTGAACTACTAGACATGGCTAGACCCAACAAGGGCTTTTGACATGTATTCTTGCACAGTGACGCTGCAATGCTTTGTATGTGATACTACAAAAATAGCCATAATAAGAACCATAGTACCACTAACACACTATTGTGGCTTCACTTTTGTTTTCATGGACAAAAGGATTCTAAGAAATTAGCTTTTGTGAATAAAAGTATGTGGGGGGGTATGAAGAGAAAAACTGGTTAAATCAACTCCTGATAAACCTATGAGAAATAACACTTTCAGTAGCTTCCTTGAGTGCACCTAGAAGCACATTTTGTAGATTTAAACTTTGGCTCAGATTTGGAAAGCACTTTTTAAATATACAATCTTCCACTGTTCTTGAACTCTTGGTTATTTCTCATTTCTGAACCTCACACAGTTTCCACTAGCATATTTTTTTACTTCTTTCTCCCCTTCCCCTTTTTATTTTAACACTGCTTAAATTTTTATACTGTTACATATTTTTTAAATGAAAATTGGTTGTTTTACTAAAGCTGTACAGGACCAGTATTTAGTCTAATTCATACAGTATATGTAAGGAAAAACTAGAAGTGATAATAAAATGTGACTGAATGCACTTATTCAAAAATATATAAACTTGTATGCATTTTGTTTCTGTGTATCATGTAAAATAGCATTGTTATTGTTGCTGCTACACTGTTTTTAAATCATGCTGCATGCAGTATGGTAAGAGGGAAAAATCCTTGGAAAAGACTGCAAATTGTGTATTGCATGCTTAATTGTACAGCTGAGGTCAACAACTTGTTTTGAAGGCTGTTTGTCAATGTAAAGCTTTACCACTGGTCAATAGTTTTGTACAGTTGAAAAAAATAGAATAAAAGATGCGATCAAGAGCAATTATCTAGAGTTGTTTGTATGTCTGAAACTTGTAAAACCTGTTGCTACTCTTTGAGTGCATTTCCATTTTTTAAACAGGGCAACAATGTCTGGAGGGCACCCAAAACATATGTTAAGGATAGCATGTGGGCAAGCTCTTCAATAATTTGTGTATCTCTGAACCCTGTTAAAGAAGATCAAACACTTGCTGTTCTGATTAAGTTGAACCAGGGTGGGAGGCACCTTAATCTACTGGGTAATACTCCCTGCTAAATCTGGGCACAAATCTACTAAAGAAAGGACCAGCCCTGTTCCTACAAATTTTGGTGCATAGGGAAGAGTTGGTAGTCAAGAAAGTGAGCCATCCTTAATTTGCATGCTAGTTTCAGAAGTCTGATTTCATCTTTTACTGATTAAAACACTATGCAGAAGTGGTAGATTGCATTACTGAAACAAGGTAAAAATATTGATCCAACTAATCCTTGACTTGGCATATACAGTACATAGTCAAAGTAGTTCCAGTTGGGAAACATCTTTCTACATGCCAAGGAACGTGAGGTTTTTTTCTCAAGAAAAATGATTTCTGAGGCACCATGAATGAGATAAAGCATACAGAAAACCATACTATATGTTGTGTCCCTGATGGGATGGGTGTCTGTGGCAGGTCAATCAGATGGCTAATTTACTACATATATACTAGGCAACAGTAAGACATTCTGTTATAGAAACAAAATAAAACATGAGTGTCTATCTGAGACACACTGGATCTAGACATTATTGCAGCCTCATTTGAGAGATCATGAACAAAGATTGGATGGAAATCGAGAATTCCAGAGAGAAAGCCGTTGCAGATGCTATCCTGATACAAACAGTTGAAAATGCTAAGGCCCCACATTCTCTGAAGAGGTTTGAGTACCAGTCAAAGGTTTACCTCTCCACCATGTAGAACTATCATATAGGGGCTGTTGCTTAATTTGCAAGTTGCCTCCAACCCATGATGACCCTATAAATGTAGAGGGTACAAAAGGACCAATCGAAGGAAGAGAAACCATTTCTCACAGCTGCTGGGACAAATTAAAACTACATCACTCCATTCAAAGGGTGAAAATCATTCCTCCTGCATTCAAAAACATCCTTGCTCTTCCTCCAAAATGGGGAAGCCTGTCTCTCCCCCCTCCCCAGCCCTGCCTGATAAGGGCACCATTGCATTTTTGGTATTGTGTCCAATATGCACTTGCACGTACACTGAATGTTCACTTATGCTTTCTTAAATTCTGCCCAGCTCCAGATGATCTGTCATAGTGATGGCAACTGTTGGCCCATCAATGCCGGAGCACCATGTCCCTTAACCTCAAAGAGGGCTTAAAAACTCATTTTCAACCTCTATTTCCATGACTGCCGGTTTCCGATCGTAATTCTTTCAGTCATCTGTCTTCTCAGAGGCTGGATAAAGAAGTAGAACTGGCAAAGAGAATGCCTTTTGTCCAAAGAGAATTCTTTTTCTGGAAACGAGTTGGGCTACTGTGCGTGTAGACAAAAGTTAGGAAACGTGTGTGTAGGCATCTTTCAGTCTCAAGAGACTATGGTAACGTGCTTTGTATGGAGGACGTAGAACAGCATCTAGTGTGGCTGAGAAGGCCAATTTGAGAGTGACAATCCCTTCCACACTGAAGACAAAAACAATCTGTTTCCTGTCCAGCTCCCTGATTTTGCTTCAATGGTCTATGCCTGGGTAAGATAATATGGAGGATAGGCTGTTACCCAAGCAGCAAATCCCCCCTCTCCACATCATTGAAATAGTCCAATGGAAAGGCAAGAGCCAATACAACTGGTTCCAGCGATGTCGCAGGAGTTTCCAGAACGGCATGAACTGCTTCTAGGACTCCGGCTCTGGATTCTGCCTTGAGGTTAACTCCTGAAGCCTTTTCCATCAGTGGATATAGTATGGAGGGTTGAAATCGGAGTTTTCATTCTCCTCGATGGGATGCCTTCCAAGGCTGACGAGCCCCACCTACCTGGCATTGAAGTTGAAAGCATCAATATATCTATCAATTTCAATTCATGTGCACTGTGGCTTCATATAGCCTACTATATGCTACTGTATGCTATTTTACAAAGATAGACATAAAGAAGTCTACATTTTTCTCATAGTTTCCCAAAGACAACATTTCTTCATTAATCTTAATTCCAAGCAAATATGTCTAGCCCACAAAACACAGTAAAACTAGTACAGTAATGCTGAAAGACATCTGAATACTCTCTTATTGTTGTCTTCAGAGAATTAGACTGCAGTTTTACAGTTATAAAAAGATTCTAGTCACCTTTTAAAAATAGTTTCATGTTAGTTCATTTAACACACTGTTTCAGTATCAATAACTTGGAGGAATATAGCAAATACTAGAAAGGGCTACTGAAAGTGCTCTACTTCTGGACTTCCCAAAAAATAGCTGGCCATCTCCAGAGAAACCAGATGCTGGTCTAGATAGGCCTGTGATGGCAAACCTTTTGGAGCCCGAGTGCCCAAACTGCAACACAAACCCAAATTATTTCTTTCGAAGTGCCAACACTGCAATTACACCTGAATACTGAGGTTTTAGTTTAGAAAAAAGCAACTCATACAGTCTGAACTAATCAACACATACAGTGTTTTCTTAAAATATGAGTCTGGTATTTAGTGGTATGAGTTTAATTTGGTTTGTTGCAAATGTAATAGGTCCCAACTTTTCTAGTCAGCAGTTTTTTCAAAAGGCGAAAATTACATCGCCAGCGCTGAAGGTATCCTTGTTCGGGTTCGAAGGTTCAGTGGCATTAAGACGTGGAGGCCACAGGTTCAACGTGTGGAGTGTTTGCCCGGCGTCCCAGTGGCTGAGACTCCTTTTACCTTTTTTTTTCCTCCCTCCGCCATTTGTTTTCAAAACATGACAGCAAGAGGGATCTCGCAATTTCCAAGCCTTTGAAGTAGACTACAGTTCCCAGCAACACTGCCCACTGGCTTTGAAAACTGATCGTGATGGGATTTGTCGTTGAAAAATTCTGGAGGATGCAGTTTATTGAACTGCTGCCTGCTTCTTCGTCTTTTAAGAAAAGAAAACCACGGCAGGAGGAAAATATGAACTTTTGTTTTGGATAGGCGTAGATATAGAAATAGGGAGCGGAAACGATCCTCCGCCTTGACTCTCATTGGTTTCTTTTTTGAGTGTTTTATGTATTCCTTTTTGTGGCATCACCAATTGATTTATCGGATGACTGTGATACAAGAGATTGTGTGGTAACAAGTCGGTTGAATTGAGCATTCTTAAATTAGTTTATTCTCTAACATCAAGCAAAGTGTACGTGTGCAGAAAAAGGAGCAAACAAAACATTCGGAGCCTGTACAACTGCTTCACCTATTTTGTTTGAAGTACATTCCTACTTGCACACGGTTTTCCTCCAGCTAAAAGCTGAGGTCTGTATATGCAAACGCTTTTTAAAATAATAAAACAGTTATTGTCATTTCCATAACATTCAGCTCGCGAAGGATCCTCGGTTCTTATAACAGAAACCGGAAGTGACGGCAGGCAATGTGGGTAGCACAGACCACCCCTCTCTACACCCTGAATTTTCCGCTCTCAGACTTGAGAACGACGCTCCTTGTTCCGTGACGTTGCACGACTCTGCCCTCTAGAGGAGAGAACCCGGGAACGCAACTGGGCTGCGTCCGGGCGAGATTTGTACCTCGCCGAAAGCCAGTGCTTCTGTCAGAGGACGGAGGGGCGGGGCCACAGGGAAGAGGGGGTGTCTTCCATTCATAGCCGCCTCCTATGTTTCAAGTGCCCCGCCCCCCGTTGTTTTCATATCCCTTCATGTGTGTAAACATTCCGCTCAGACAAGTGTGTTAGTGAATTAGAGACGGTTAGATTCTTAGAACTGCAGAGCTGAAGGGATCCTATAGAATAGATCAACAGGTCCATCTCTTGTTAAGGAGGCACAGTGGGGAATTGAACCCTGAACCTCTGGCTTTGCAGCCAGAGACCTAAACTACTGAGTTATAAGCTAAATTCTATTAGGTGTGTTAGGTAAAAAGCTATGTTGGAACCCATCAAACGCATATTGCTTATTTGTTTACTGTTTTATATTCCAGTAAGTAACTTTCCTTAGATGTTTCATTCCTTAGGATCATGGCCCTCTTCAGGTATTATAATGGCCCTTCCCTTTGGTCCATCCGTTGTCAGGCAAAGGCCTTCCTTTTCAGGCAACCTTTGAAGTGATAAGTGATTAGGGGACTCTATATTTTTTTTTAACCAAGATATTTTAAAATTATTTTAAAATGTTTTCAGAATTGGTTTTAGTTCTGGCCAATGTTTAATAATTTTAAATACATAGTTTTGTGTGGCATTTTAAAATTATTATTGTATGATTTTAATTGTTGTGAGCCACCTTGGTATCCAATGATTGCATATAAATAAAAATGTATAATTATTAACTGAAGTGTGTGAGGGCTATAAGAAGATAGAAAGACAGAAGGGGATACTGGCAGGTGGCATGTGTTGACTCCAACGTCCATGTGGACATCTTTGGTCCCTGACTTTGCTGAATTGAACAGTATCAAATCCCTTATGAATACACAGTGGAAGTGAAGAACAGATTTAAGGAACTAGATTTGGTGGACAGAGTGCCTGAAGAACTATGGAGGGAGGCTAGTAACATTGTACAGGAGGCAGCAACAAAAACCACCCCAAAGAAAAGGAAATGCAAGAAAGCAAAGTGACTGCCCAATGAGGCCTTATAAATAGCGGAGAAGAGAAGGGAAACAAAATGCAAGGGAGACAGGGAAAGTTACAGAAAATGGAATGCAGATTTCCAAAGAATAGCAAGGAGAGACAAAAGGGCTTTGTTAAATGAACAGTACAAATAAATAAAGGAAAATAATAGGAAGAGAAAAACCAGAGATCTGTTCAAGAAAACTGGAGCTATTAAAGGAACATTTTGTGCAAAGATGGACATGATAAAGGACAAAAATGGGAGGGACCTCACAGAAACAG